GAGGAGCTTTAAGGTCCCTTCAACCCAAACCAGGCTGGGATCCTATGAACTCCACATGTGCAAGGCCATATTTGCTGGAACTATCCCAGGAACAGCAGGACATGCTCCCTGTTGAGGCAAAACATTCCCATGCAATAGCCCAACAGGCAACCCTCAGTGCAATTGAACGCTGGCTCCCCACCAACATACTCTGTCCCATTTCAATGGGTACTTTTCCACTCTGGAATTGTGTAAAGCCAATGAGTCAGCATGGCTGAAAATGCTCCTCCACACACAGTGTCCATGCTCAGCAAGGAGATGGGCATCATGTGTAGTGCACGAAGGAGCTCAACAGCATGAGCACCGCATCCGTCGCTGTTAAGACATGCCAAAACCCAGCTGTACATGTGGTTTGCCAAAAGAGTTCATGTTGATGCTATGTGTAGCCTCCAGCTCTGAAATCAAGAGCTGCTCTTGCCTCTGACATGTCTGAATGGTTTCCACAGGTTTTGGACCACCCACCACCCTTTTGGTCCCAGTAATGGGATGTGAGTTTCCACACTTCGTGAAGGTTTCCAAGGAGATAGATGCAGTCCTTGCTATCATTAATCCTTTGGGTGATTTACCTACCATTGGAAATCAAAGGTCATCATGAGGAGCTTAATGATTTTTATATGGAATGTATACAGGACTAACAACCTAAAAGCAGGTAGGAATCAACACTTTGGACATCACCTTCAGATCCCAAAAGCAAAGACAACATGCCTCAACCTGAAGCACCATGTGAAGAAAGACACCTGGGAGAAGACTTTAAATGGCAAATGACAGTTCCTCATTCCCATCTCAGACTTGGTCCCAGTTTTTACCTTCCACCCTTGTTTTTGCTTATTCTCAGCATAAGGACAATATGTGCCAGCACAGGGAGAACACAGTCAAGTCTATTTGTCATTGGAGACAAAAAAGGAATTAGATATCTGGAAGAAGAATAAAAAAAGATGGAAGACCAAAGACAACAGATACCTCCTCATGAAATCACCCCAAAACTTTAATATATTGATGAGCAAAATAGACATTTCATGTTTTGGGGTGTCAGGCAATTGCTGTACCCATCAGGACAAGACCCTTTCCAACCAACACACACCAAGTGACAGAACGAACCCTCAATTCCAAGCACATTCCTGCTGCGACCTTGATGCTCTCCTCATGGGAGTCCAGAAGGGCAGAAATGGATCTGGAGGATGAATAATTCATTCTAAGAGAGCCTTTGAAAAGAAACTGATTGATTAACTAGGCACCTGCCAGGAGAAATGGTTTTCAGCTAGCACCCTGCTGGCAATGGACATTTAGCATAGCAAATGGTGGTCAGGACAGGATGACATTTAGGCAAGGGAAGGTAGAAGGAGTCAAGCAGAAGAGTCTTTCTAACAGAGAATTAAAGCTTGGGAGGGGGGAACAGGATGATAATGAAGGGATGTGGCTTGGAGGAGCAGTACTGCTATAACAAAGGGTTAGCCAGTGTGGGACCAGCAGCTCTCCTGTACCACAAAGACACACTTCATCTGGGTACACATGCCAGGATGGTTTCTGATTTTCATAGAATCATGGAATGGTTTGGGTTGGAAAGAACCTTAAGATCATCCAGTTCCAACCCCCTGCCATGGGCAGGGACACCTCACACTAAACCATGGCACCCAAGGCTCTGTCCAACCTGGCCTTGAACACTGCCAGGGATGGAGCATTCCCAATATCCCTGGGCAACTCATTCCAGTGCCTCAGCACCAGTAAAGAACTTCTTCCCCATCTCCAACCTGAACTTCCCCTGTTTCAGTTTGAACCCATCACCCCTTGTCCTATCACTGCAGTCCCTGATGAAGAGTCCATCCCCAGCATCCCTATAGGTCCCCTTCAGACACTGGAAGCTGCTCTGAGGTCTCCAAGCAGCTTCTCTTCTCCAGGCTCAACAGCCCCAACGTTCTCAGCCTAACTTCATACGGGAGATATTTTCTCTTGGTACTCCAAATGCAGGGCTTTCTCCCTCCTCCAGTGCTCCAAGACAAATTCTACGAGCCGTATGACCTCTGTTCCTCACTTCTTTCCTCCACAGAACAACAGCAGTTGAGTTGCATTCACAGACACCATGAATGCTGCTCTTAAATACCCTAAAGGGACAAGAGAAGAGAGACAGGGTGTGTGCATGCACGGAGGGAAACAGGAGCACAGAGGAATATCATTGCCCCTGTTTGAGGAGCAAGGCTGCATGCACTGATGGATCACTATCCCTCAGGTAGTGCACACAGCTTTCCTAGGAAACTCCTTTTCACCACTCTTTGCCTCATGTACAATACACCATGTACCCCCAACCCCCTTTATTTCAGGACAGCAAGCATCTTCAACCATGCCATGGATCTCCTTCACAGACTTTTGTCAGAAGAGCACTCAGTTGTACTTGTGTCTTTCTAGTATGAGAACATTGGATGTAGAAACGCAACATAAAGTCCCTTCCAACCCAAACCAGTCTATGATTCTATTATGGACCCAGTCCTGCCAGATGGGTGAAGCAACCAGCTGTCAAGCTCTATCAGAGCACGTTTGTCTGCACAGAGAAACACATTTGCCTTGCTTCAGGGGATTTGAAGGCAAATACTGCACTGCTTTTTATCCTCTCCAGTCCCACCAGATCTAACTTCACCTCAGGCCCCAAACTCCCAGGTGCTGCAGACTTGATGCAGACATTGCCCAAGGGAGGAGGTCTGTGTCTTACAGCCCAGACTCTTCTCCAGGCTATTTCCTCCTCTCCAGCTTGACTTGGCTCCATTTCTCCAAACACAATCTACAGACAGTTGGCCTCAACAGCAAAAGCAAAGCAAGAAGCCCTGTGAAACGAGACCGAATGAGCAGAAATGCTTTCTGGCAAGGCTTGAAAATCACTAGTTTCTAAGCAAATATGACTTAGTACCACCTGAGGACTTGTACTGCACGTGGAGCTCTTCAAACTCAAGCTGTCATTTGCTACAGGGAAAAGCTGAGCATAGATGGAAGTAGAAGGAAGCTTTGACCATCTCTGGGCTTCATCTTTCTCATCCCACCTCAGCTTTGCTACTCAAAAGCACTCACCACACATACAGCAAAGGCAAAGCAGCTGGATAAACCCATTGCCAACTCATCATGGGACACGTGGACTATTGCTTGGAGGTTGGAACAAGACTTTGTAGTCTCCAATCTTGCTTTTTGTGGGTGTCAGAGCAAATCATCTGCTGTTAATGGACAACTGGCTCTGTGTACTGGGAATAGTGAAGGGAATGGGAGGTTCAGCACCCTGATGAACGACACAGTTCCACATGCAGGACTGACTGTTCTCCACCCCTGCTCTTGGTCAGCCTATGCAACTCAGTACCCTGACATTAGGCAGCATCTTCCTAGGTAGGTTTGTTCCACCCTGCAAGGAGTGCTTGCTGGCTCCAAAGAACGTGAAGCAAAGCAAAGGGCCAAACTCTGCTGGGATTCTAGCTCCAGATAAGGTTTATGTAAACCAGCTGGAAGACAAAAACTAAACAGCAGAAGAAATCATTCTTCAGAAGGCTATGAGGGGCACACAAGCCTGGAAACGCCACTGGAACCATAGAATCCCAGCCTGGTTTGGGTTGAAGGGACCTTAAAGCCCCTCCAGCTCCAACCCCTGCCACGGGCAGGGACCCCTTCCACTGGAGCAGCTTGCTCCAAGCCCCTGTGTCCAACCTGGCCTTGAACACTGCCAGGGATGGGGCAGCCACAGCTTCTCTGGGCACCCTGTGCCAGCGCCTCAGCACCCTCACAGGGAAGAGCTTCTGCCTAAGAGCTCATCTAACAGCTTTTGTGACTTCCTAATACACAGGAAGCATGTGGACCCCAGGTTCTCACTTGGCTGCTTCTGGCCTTCATGGTTGGTACAAACCATGGGTAGAAAAACCATTTACCATGCCTAGAACTTCATTTCACCACCCAGAGGCAATGTAGTAAAGAGTGACACAAATTAAGCTGGCATTTCAAGGGACTGCTTAAAGAAAGACATCATTAAAGTGAACTAAAATACTTGTGTCGTGATAGGCATTTATGTCCCCTAGCAAACTCTTTGCACGCACTCTTCAGCTTGGAGAGGAGCTCAAGAACGTTCCAATGTGCCAAATAGCTTCTGACAGTCCATACAGATATTTTTACTGCTTTGAATGTCAGCAAAAAAGTTAGTTAGATGCCTTAAAATATACATATATAAAGTACATTTGCCTACTCTACAGTAGGCTGTCTAGTCTGAAGGCAATCAACCAGCAGAAAGAGATAGAGGTGCAACCATTCAACACACCTCGGTACAGAAGCACCCAAACTCTACAGGACAACTTTATCCAAGCCAATACACTCCATATTTAGCTTGGACATGTCCAGAAACTTCAGAGAAGAGCTCTATGATTACGATTTCAAGCTCTACCCGGAGGTAGATGACAGGAATGTTTCATCACCTCACCCCGTCTCATGATGGTCTGCAATGCAAGAGCACCATGCAGTCATGTAGGGTCAAGCACAGCTTGTTTGTATCTTATTGCACACTGCCACATACTTGAGGCATCTTGCTGGGAGCTGAGTTTAACCATGGCTGGTGAGGTTCTGCAAAGTACATGGAGACAGAGCCCTCAAGCTCTAAAGTAATGAAGAACATAACGAACTTCTCCTCCTGCAGCTCAAGGGCCAAGCATGGAGAGCAAAAACCAGCCGAACCAGCAGCCAGAAAGATGCAGTGGCACAAACCACTCTTAGCAAAGCAAGGACTGGCCTTTTGTTTGAAAGGCATCTGGAACATCTGGGGCGTGACTTGACTCTGGGCTCATGCACTGAATTACCACCACTGTAATCCTAGCCAGGAGGAATACCTTAAAGCTGTATTTGTCATATAGATTCTCTGGAGAGCAGCCTGGAGACCGTCAGATCCAGTTCTGCCTGTGTAAAGGATGGTAGAACCAGACAACAAGTACTAACAATATCAGACTACTCACCATTGGTGCTCCGCGGTGACCTATGATGGCTGGCTTTGGTCCCAGAGCCTTCTTCTCCATTATGCAAGGGGATGAGATGGTGAGGGGGACGAGGTAAAGTGCAACTACAACTGCGAGGTATGCCGTGAACATCAGCATCTGAGAAGCTGAGACGGAAAGAGAGAGAAAGAACTGGTGAAAACCTTGGTCCTGACCTTCTCACACCACAGGAGAGAAGTCAATGCACCTTCATCTTCCTCCACAGAAGAGATCTTTTTGCTCATCAAGTCCTGAGGGACGTTTTCACTTCGTTTTGTGTTGGAGAAACAAGTTAAGTGAGTTGCTTAAAGTCATAGAATCATGGAAGCGTTTGGGTTGGAAAGGACCTTAAGATCACCCAGTTCCATGTCCCCTCCTATGGTCCCTGCAATGTAGCCCAAAATACTGCTGATTTCCAGCTGTTTGGGTGGAACAGCACCAAGCTTTGCCCTTCCTGACAGCAGAAATAGAGCACCAGATAAACATACCTATAAATAAGCCATGGCATCATGTTGGTGCATTTATCACTTGTGTTTATACCACTAACGTCTACATTGGTGGTTCACCAACACCACCCATTTCAGTAAGGGTAGAGCCACTTTAACTGCTTCTGCATTAAGGTCTGTGCCAGCAGAGCTGCTTTTAACTTGCAATAATAATTTACTGAATAAATTGGATAGCTTAAAGAAATCCTTGGGTTGTGATGGTGCTGCTTTACCCAGGGTCTCCACAAGCAACTGTGTTACAGCACCAGCAAATGAAGCTAAGAGGGTATCAGCTGCAATGCTTGGGACTAGATGAATAGCTCTGCCTCCCAGCTCTCAGCTACCAGTGACTTCCCACAAGGTCCAAAGTCTCTGGGAATCTCTCAAAGGTGCTGACAGTGCAACAGAGACACCTTTGTACCCAACAGACATGTGTTCCTTACAAAGAACGACAGGCACCTTTGAACTCCTGAGCTACTTGGAGTCACTTGAAACCACAGATATTAAAGCAAAATACTTCAATTCTTATTTTAATAATTATGATTGATTTTGAAAACTCATTCAGGCTTTGGAACTTGAGGGAAAGCCTCCAAAATATCCTTTAAAACAAATACTTGCAATGGGTACATGATGGAGAAGGTGGGGTTTTAAAGGGGAAGGACAGAGATGCCCGGCTCTGGTCCTGATCACAACTGATCTGGTTTCACCCATAAATAAGGTGCTTTCTGCTTCCATTACCTGATAGCCTCATTCAAACATGTTCCTATGAGCCAGAAAGTAACACTAGTACCTTTGCCAGCTAATCTTTCCTCCTCTGTGGAAGAGAAATCAATCACTCAGAGAGCACTCCAGGCACTGAATGGCATCATGAGCTCATGCTGTGTCCTACACCATAAAGGCATGGTGCCCTGGAGTTGTGCTCTACCAGCATCAAAACCTCCAGATGGACACAAGATGTGGTCCTGACCCAATTCCTGCTCACCCCAAGAGCACCATGCACCAACCAGGCTTTGAAAAGAATCAACCTCATTGTCAGGAAATCTCAGCTGTGCAAAGACCTCGGTTCCTTCCATCCTAGCACTGAAACTAAGGGACTAAACAGCTCATAGAATCATAAAATAGTTTGGGTTGGAAGGAACCTTAAAGATCATCCAGTTCCTACCTTCTTGCCATGGGCAGGGACACCTTCCACTAGGGCAGCTTGCTCCAAGCCCCATCCAACCTGGCTCAGATTCAAGACTAAAGGCAAGAACGACGTGAAATGCATGGGCTTCCAAAAATTGTGCTCACTGGACTGCACCCACAAGGAGAGGATGCCCCAGCACAGGTCATGTTAACATAACCAGGATGGACAGGGCCTTTGAGCAACCTGCCCTAGTAGAAGGTGTCCTTGCCCTTGGCAGGGGGTTGGAACTGGATGAGCTTTAAGGTCCCTTCAACCCAAACCAGTCTGGGATTGTAGGATTAAAATGGAGCTGAAGACTCACCCAGCCACACATACGTGGCAACTGAGACCATCCACAGAAAACCCCCCAAATGAAATACATGCCTCATATATACAGTTTGATGGTCTGTATGGAAAAAGCTCTCTTGGTGACCACCAAAAGCAAGCAAGGCAGATAAATCTCCCACTCTCTACAACATGACAACCACTATACTTAGCTGCAAGCCTTCCTTCCCCACTCCTCCTGCTCCTAGTGACCATTTCAACCTACTTTGGGCTCCTAGAAAAGCAGGTTTCTCACACACACATTTGCTGCTCAAGGCTTCAAGGGCTGCTTTGAGTACAATGTTCTCTATTCGACCTTAGAAGCAAGCTTTTGAAACCAAGCTACTATCATAGAATCATAGAATGGTTTGGGTTGGAAGGGACCTTAAGATCATCCAGTTCCAACACCTCACACTAAACCATGGCACCCAAGGCTTTGTCCAACCTGGCCTTGAACACAGCCAGGGATGGAGCATTCACAGCTTCCTTGGGCAACCCATTCCAGTGCATACTATCTTTGAAAAGACTTTTAAAGCATCTGTTCTCCATGTTCAGAATAAAGTAGCATAGAGGGAATGAACATAAATTAAAAGAAAATAGATGAATTTGCTCAGAAAAGAAGATGGTTGCTCATGACTGTCACACACCTCAAACAAATGAGACGATGCAAGAACAGACTTGCACCAATGCAGCTCCACCAGCTATTTCCAGAGGATTGCTCTTAGTGAATGAAATCTTATTTTCCCATTACAAGTGACTGTGGGTTCTCACAGAGATTTAAGTTCTTCTCTTCTGTTTTTAACACCGCCACGTCAAGTGTATCTGCACCCAAAAGCCTGTGAACTCCTCCAGGTTAGATGCGCTTCACAAGTAAAATGACCCCAAAATGACTTCAAGATCAAATGTTTTCCATAAAAACCAAAGCCCACAAAGCCAGGAGCAGAAGAAGAGAAGGGAAACAGCTTCCTGGCTTAGTTAAAAAGCAGAAGGAATTCAGAAGGAGCACATGCAATCTCTGCTGTAGGCATAACCACAAATCCTCCCCTCAACTGGCAGCATAATTACATGCTAGGCCATACTTAAGAAGAACTGGGTACAACTTTATTGGCATATTTATAAATCAGGGCAGAGCAATTCTTGCTTTAAAAGGTCTCTCTGGTGAGCAAAACCTTTCCATCTTCAGACACCGTTTCCTCATTCCTTACTCCCACCTCTTGGAAGTGCTGCCAAATCCTTGCAGGGCTTGTTTTTCACTGGGGGTTAAATACCCATTCAAATGCATTGTTCCGGAGCTGGCACTAATGTCTGGGAAGATCCATGGATGCTCTGAAGAAAAGCACTTCTGAGGGCACAGAGGATCAAGTTATTTCACATGAAAACCTGGAGGAGCAGCTGAGGCTTGGGAGAGCCCCTGGCAATGGGGTGGGACAGGGGAGACGCACAGAGCTTCAGCGGAGAGAACCATCAACAAGATGAGCTGGGTTCAGTGTGACCTCCACAGCTCTCCTCCCTTAGACCTTTGACCATGTGTTTAGATGCATTTAAGTAAGCACCTAACCATCAGAGGACCAGATCTCTACCGAGCCCTCTGGGTGCTACCGTACCACAAGCAACAAGTCCATTAAGACTTTCAAAAGCCAGAAATGCAGATGAACAAGAAGCCAGGGGAAGGAAGAAGTGCTTATGAGACAGAAAGAATACTGCATGCTAGCTGCAGAGGGTGCATTTATGTTTGCTAAAGCAGACTGATAGAAATATCAATGTTTTTATTCACTTCATCATTTAAAATAGCCCTTTTGTCTCCAGCCCAGGTGTGCTTCTGACTACACACTGACAGCTATGGGATCTGGATGCATTCCAAGGAAGTTGTGAGTGCTCCATCCTCAACAGTGTTCAAGGCCAGGTTAGACAGACCTTGGAGCAACCTGGTCTAGTGGGAGGTCTCCCTGCCCATGGCAGGGTGCTGGAACTGGATGAGGTTTAAGGTCCTTCAACCCAAACCATCCTATTATTCTATTCCCAGATCAGATGCACCACTCCAGTTTCACACAGATCACTCTAGCAGAGCATCCACCTCCCCATTGTGGCTGAGGTGTAGGATGCTTAGCCCTGGAAAGGAACCAGTGTTGCCCCCCCAAGGAGAGGACCCAATGCCCCAGCAGCCCCTGACCACCATGCAAGGACACGAGTGGTACTCACTGGCTTTCTCCGTGCGTGCAAACTGCCCCGCTACCAACCACGACAGGGCTGTGACTGCTGCAAGTGCTCCTATATGCAAGAAAGGGGCCGTGGCCTGCAGCACACAAGAAAAGGAGAGGAAAAAAAAAGGTATTACAAACACAACACCTTGGAAATCCACTGATCTCTCAGGTTCCATAGGGCATCAAACCATTCCGTTTCCAGTTGGATGTTGCACCATTCCTACATTAGGCTCCTGCATCCTATTTGGGTATCTCTTTTTCCAAATCCTACCTTTGCCTTTGGTACTCAAACCTCTAATAACCATAGAATGGATTGGGGTTGGAAGGGACTTTCCAAGCTCACCTGTCCAAACCCCATGCAATAAGCAGAGATATCTCCATTTAGATCAGGTTGCTCAGAAGTCAAAGCAGGAAGAGACATGGAGCTGTTGGAGTGAGTCTATAGGAGGCCATGGAGATGCTGCGAGGTGTGGAGCAGCTCTGCTCTGGAGCCAGGCTAAGAAAGCTGGGCTGATTCAGTAACAAGGATCTTCTTAGGAAGATCTTGGAGCACGCTGCTCTAGTGGAAGGTGCCCCTGTCCATAGCAGGGGGTTGGAACTGGATGAGCTTTAAGGTCCCTTCAACCCAAACCATTCTATGAACATACTGTATTGTGTATCATCACATTGTATCACCGTGAGAGAAAGCTTGAGAAGCATCCTCTGAGTCATGCTTCTGTTCTCCAATTGTCTGCCTAAATCTTAAACTCAAAACAACAACAAAAGCCAACCAAGGAAGGGAAGCACTTCTCAGAAGCATTAGTCACTCGTGTCAGTGCTGTTCTTCCCCACCCCACAGGACAAGAACACAGCAGTTGCATTCATTTTTAGATATATACAAACTTATGTACGATGTGAAAACAAACCCAGAGTACTCCTCCCATGAGCCTGGGATGAGCATAACGCTCCAGGCTGGACACCAGCATCCAGAGCACTGCTAGCCAAAACAAGGGGAGAAACTGCCCCCTCCCTCCAGCAGCTATGAGTCACACTCAGTATTTTCCACCTCAAAGTCTGCAGCCAAGCCCTGGTTTGAGTTTAGGAGCCCAGGAGATGGAGACAAAGTGAGAGTGGTCTTGAGGACTCCATGGGAGTTTTGCTGCCACCTTTCTCATTGCCAAGACTTCAAGATTGGAAGTGACATATATCAAGACAGGGTTTCATACAGTAGAAAGCTGCATGTGGCCCCTTTCTCCACTTGAGAAGCATCCTTGCAGATAACTTACTTGTAGTGAAATAAATACCATCTCCCATTCGTCATCCCAAAGCTGTGCTATCGATGACATGGTCACCACGGTAGTTATCAAGGTCGTCACCAGGCCAATCTGCAACAAATGAGAGTATTTACACATCCTGCAGCCTATCACTATCATCTGATATTAAAATAAAATCTAACAGTAACATAAAATCTAACAATAATAAAAGGTCTAAAACCAACTAGCCTTAAGACCCACAAGGCTTGTGTGCTGTCCCAGCATAACCCAGCTGAATGGTCACAGGAGGACACAGTTCATGGATGATCCCTTACTCTGGCCAGTAGTATGGAAAGATCAAGTGATTTCCTTTGTCAACGAGCTGGATCAAAACCAGCTTAAATAGAGATTGGGTTCTGCTGGGCAACTTCAGGAGGTGGTCACAGACTCTCTTGCCCCTGCTACAACAGTCCCTGATGCACCAGTGCTATGGGAGGTTGGTGGACTTTGCTCAGCTTGGCTGCCCAACACTTCTGTTCAGACATAAAGCTTGAGCACACCCAACACAATGAACACTTAGCATCAGTAAAGGGAGAACATATGTGTTAAGCAAGGCTGTGCATCTCCATCACTAAATCATCTACAGATGGCTCAAGCACAGCTTTTTGCACGGATGTGGCTTCACCTGCATCTGTGCAGACAGCATCCAAGCCATGCTGACAGAGCAGTTACAATAGGTATTGTGGCTTAAGAAGAGGTAATGGATGAGACAGTGGCTGAACTGAGATGGCAAACCAAGACCCGGTCCATCAGCCTCCTTCTCCCAGTCTCCCTCTCCTTCCACATGGAAGCACTCAGAGCCTGAGCAAAGCATTCAAAAAGAAAATGTCATCTCCGTTTTGAAGGTAAAAAGTTCAAGCTGTCAAGAGCTGCCATCGAAATAACTCCAGCTGTAGAGACCCAAAATCTGGGCTGTCTATCAAGAAACAGTTCACAGTCTGGTATCTCAGTCTCTGCTGGATTCAAAGGATGCTGCTGTTCTCTGCCTCTGTCTCATGTAGTGTCTAGCTCCCAAATCTGTGTGGGAGACGTGGGCAGAAGAGGCTGACTGACACACAGCAATGAACTGATCAGCTAGGACGCATAGGACGTCTCTACATCCATTTCAGTTTGAGTGAATTTGGCAAGCAAATAAAACCCCCCACCCCCAACATTTACAGAAATCACTTTTGTACACGAGGATAGGAATTCTCTTTCTAGTTTAGCATCAGTTCATACCTGCTGCTCTTTTCCTAAATGCCCATATCTGAAGGGGGGCTATAGCAATGCTGGGGATGGACTCTTCATTAGGGACTGCAGTGATAGGACAAGGGGTGATGGGTTCAAACTGAAACAGGGGAAGTTTAGATTGGATATAAGGAAGAAATTCTTTACTGTGAGGGTGGTGAGGCACTGGAATGGGTTGTCCAGGGAGGTTGCGAATGCTCCATCCCTGGCAGTGTTCAAGGCAAGGTTGGATAGAGCCTTGGGTGCCATGGTTTAGTGTGAGGTGTCCCTGCCCATGGCAGGGGGTTGGAGCTGGATGATCTTAAGGTCCTTTCCAACCCTATGATTCTATAAGCAGACTTGCCAACAGCACAAGAGGTGTCCAAAGGACAGCAGTAGCTTACCCTGAGCCTCCAGCTTCTGGGGGACCAAAGCACATGGAGCAGCTGAAGTTTCAACTGCAATGGGTAGGAGAGGATCCCCCAGCTAAGAGGCTGCATTCAAGACACCTTCTGACCCTATTCTCCCCCTCTGCTCATGAGATCCCCCCCTGCAGTCCTCATCCAGCTCTGGGGCAGCAGTACAAGAGGGATGTAGAGCTGTTGGAGTGAGTCCAGAGGTGGCAATAAAGATGCCAGATCATAAGCACAGCCCTAATTCCCCTCAATATCACTGCCCTGTGAGGCACAGAAATGTCAGGACAGAAGTGTCTCCATTCCATCATTTCCTCCTCCCATCAGCTCCTATTTATTACTTCTTATTTTTGCTCATACTTCTCCACCTTGGTTTACAATCCTCAGCTCTTTTTTTGCAGGATTACAGGAGAAAACTGGGAGGAATCATGTGGTTTGCACATACCAGCCTTTCCCACAGGCTTTATTCTATATTTGAAGGTAATTCAGCACGGTTGCAGGGAAGAATATTAACTTATCCCAGTTTCTCATCTCAACCTCCTTAGAAAGCAGAGGGAAGTGTGGGGAAGGGAAGAGAGAGCTGCAATGAAAGTGGACTTATTTGGAAGAAGGGAAGGAAAGGTGGGTTTCTGTAGGCAAGAACTAACTGATCTCCACCAACACAATCCTCTTCAGGACTTACTCATCCAAACCCACCCGCCACCTGGAGCGTGTCTGAAAAACACCACTTCTCCCAATGGGGAAACATATGTTAAGCTCAAGAACCAGCAATTTCTTTTCCAGACAGTCCCTGTTCCCTCTTTGCATCCCCTCCTCCAGAGGAAGCATAATTCCTATTGTTCGAGGCAAAAGAAAGGAGAGGGAGGGGATATTCGTGCTCTCCCTGTCCCTGTGTACCGGATAGAGCTGGTACATCTGTTCAGGCTCTGATCCTGCAAGACCTTGTCACGTGCAGAACAAGCAGTTTCAGGAGGAGCTGTGTAATCAGCACATTCAGGACTGGTCCTTTAATTACCTCTTATAGCAGATTGCCAGTTACAATGGAATGCTGCCAAGCTGTTTTCTTTGGCACCATGTCTCCCTGCAGCTTGCTACATACCCTTCCTCTCCCCTTCCGTGCTCCTAACACCAGATCTGCATCCTAGAATGGTTTGGGTTGGAAAGGACCTTAAGATCATCCAGTTCCAACTCTCTGCCATGGGCAGGGACACCTCACAGCAATGCTTTTCAAGCTGCTTTACACACAAACCAGGACCTCCTTGGGTTCCACCAAAGCACAACCTGGACGTTGCACACCCCCAGTTTAAACACCTACTTCTTCTCCCAAGGCTTTTCCACTCAGTTCCTCCAAGCACAACCTCAACAGCTTCACATCCTCATCCAGGGCTGGGTTCAGCACAGAAAGGAGTACCAGAGGGGTTCATAATGGAGAACCATGCTGAGCTGAGACTAAGGCCAGGCTGACCTGATGACTCAGTGTGTACCCGTCTCCAAAAGCAGCTCCCTATCTGTCAGCAGGGACCCCAAAGCACTTCACCAAAGCCTTTGTCCCTAGGCTTTGATTGATCCAACTGTGCAATTTGCTCTGAGATGAGGACGCATGAACCAAAGACATCTACAATATATGCTCTTCTCAAGACCATGACAGTGAGCTCCACGTACTCCTGAGACTCCTGCTTTATAGAGCTCCCACTCACTTCCAAGCTGAGAAGAGTCCACTCACCTTGTGAAGCCAGTGCAGGTTCATTTGCTGTCCCACAGCTATGTGACATAGTGCTAGTATCTGGGAGGAAGAAACCAAGAGTCAGACATAGGCACATCACAACCTTCAAGGGTTTGAACATATAGGAACATGGATATCACCATCCATAAAGATAACCAAACAGGCCAGTACAGAAAGCAGGGCTGGCACGAGGATGGTTGAGAAGACACCACCTGGCTCAGTTGTACCAACAGTTCCTTTACAAAACCAAGGATGTGAAGGGAAACACACCTCCAAGAGGCAGGGATTTGGGATGCTGGTCCATGGGTCCATAGGGAGCAGTGCCTGAATGGGGCCAGGTACTTCAATGGACATCACCTTGAAGATCAGCGCCTACTTGTGTCCAGGTACCAGGATGCTACCTGAATGAACATCACCTTGGAGGTCCCAGCACCCTCTGGATGCTGGGATGAGGGGAATGAGGGGATAAGGGGAAACAACTTGCACTTGTGACTGCCAGACACCAGAGTGGAAACTGAACCATACTAAGGGGAACAAGAGCTGTATCTCTCCTCAGGCCAACTGCATCACTGACATCAGGGTCTCTGTCTTCGCTCCTGATCATCTGAGATCAAAGTGTATATCCTTCACTTTCCACTGATTTTAGGCAACTTAAGGCAAAGAGAGGAGGAGAAATCACTTCTGAAAGGAAAACTGCTCAAGGTGGAGAGTTGGACAGAGAAGTTCACGTGCGTTTAACAACAAGGACCCAGTTCTCTAGGAAATGACATTTCCTTCTACTCACCAATAACACTGTAATGTAAGTAAAGCCAGCAGCAGTTGTCACAAGTATTGGAATGGACCAGTCACTCCAATATCCCATTCGGTTATATAAAAACCTGAAAGAGAAGTGTGAAGGACAGGTTAAGAAGAGATTCAACACCCTAGCAGCTTCACCTGGATTCAGGTAAACCTTTAGAAAATGGGTCTTTTTGCTCCCACTCTACAGAGGAGAAATAGGCAGCAAAAAGCTTAAGTCACTCTGAAATAAAAGCCAGGGTTTGTGCTTTGATTCCTCACGGTAAATTAACTCTGCAAAGAGGAATTGGACAAGTCTGTCAAAACACAGCAACAAGGGTATGTTGGTAAAAGGAAAAACCACCATAAAACAACAATACAACCTCCATATAGAATCAGAGCTTGAGTTTTCCCACAAATATTCCCTACAAACAAGAGGAAAAATAACACCATCCATGGCCTAAACAATAGATCCAACACTGTCCCGCGTGCTTTTAGACTAATAAATACAATATAGAGATGGTGGCAAGGGCAGGGAAGGAAACTTAATATTGCTGTGCAAAGCTTTGGTGTATCCTCAAGGTGAGAGCTCTTTGTAGAGGGACAAAGTGATGGAAGAAATTGGGCCTCTTGCACTTACTGGAGATGGTGTTTCTTATTCCAGTGGGCTGTAGCTAAGGTCCAGCCCTGCAAGAGTGGAGATCGTCAGGAACTGGGCTCAAGATTCCCCAAATGGGGCTCGTTGGAGGAAATGCATCTTCTTCATAGAATCAGCCAGGTTGGAAAAGCCCTTTCAGCTCACCCAGTCCAACCATTCCCAGCACTGCCAAGGCCCCCACTGCCCCATGGCACTGAGGCCTCGTCTCCACAGGGTGTGAACCCTTGCAGGGCCAGTGCCTGCAGCCCTGCCCTGGGCAGCCTGTTCCAATGCCTGAGCACCCTCTGGGGCAGGAATTGGTCCTCAGCTCCATCTAAACCTGCCCTGGTGCAGCTTGAGGCCGGTTCCTCTTGTCCCATCCCTTGTTCCTTGGGAGCAGAGCCCAGCCCCTCCTGGCTCCATCCTCCTCTCAGGCAGTTGTAGGGAGGTCACATCTTCAATTGACCAAAGGGTTCATCTGCCCAGCCTGAAGGATGCTTGTAGGGGGGTTGGCTCAGTGGTTTCCCTTCTCCTGGTCCTTGTGATTACCTTAAAGCTTTAAGTAAGAGATGGACCATTCAATGGGTTTGTGGTCCAGCCTCAGCAAGAGGCAGCAGCCATGCCCTGATGCACTGGAGGGTCAGAGCAGGAACTTAGGCACAGTTAAAGCAATACCGAAGCATAGACGACATCCTACAGGTATATCGTCAAAGCATGTACCTCCAAAACAGCTTCTTTGGTTCCTCTAGGCCATCCCTCCCCAGTGAATTCCCCAGTTTCCCTGCACACAGGTAAGAACAGTTGCCACCTCAAAGCTTAGCAGCAGCAAACCATAGAAGCCAAATGCTTTTCCTATAGCTTAGTGGTCACAGCACTGCTCTAGGAACAGAGAAACCCACATTCACTCCCCACCTTAGCTTTTGGGACCACAAGGCTCTTTCCCCACCACCTCTCCAACCCACAGGCAAAGAAACAGGCTTCATCCTCCTGCTGAAGGTGGTTTTTCTTCCCTCCTCTCCTCTATTTATCCTTCCCACTCTCAGCTACTAGGTTTCCCAACCCTATATTCAGAAGGCAGGTTCAGCTCAGCATCCTGCCTCTCATCATTTCCTTGAAGCCAATGGGCAGTAAAAGCTTGATGAACAGGAGCACCAGATATCACAGCAGCAACACTGTCCTTTGTGCCTAGCACTGGGTCTCAAATGTCAAATCTGCGTGTGAATAGCAATACACTTCCCAGTAAAACTGTTCTGGAGATGGATTAAAAAGACATTAAAGCACATTACAGCAAAGCAAGATGCAAGAGACTCAGTCAACTACCTTCCCTGGCCAGAAATGCAGAACGATGCCCACGCCCGACCACATCAGGAGAGAGGCAGCCAAACCCAAGAACCTTTATGGCAACCTCTTAGAGTTCAAGCCTGACCTGGATTAGACTTTTTTTCCACTGGATTTTTAAGGAAAACATCACTGGGTTGACTTGAATTGGGTTAACTTCATCTCCATGCTAATCCTCTGGTACAGCAAGGACAGGGTGGCTACAGGGTGGATGATGCAGCAGGACTGGTTTGGGTTGGAAGGGACCTTAAAGCTCCTCCAGCTCCAAACCCTGCCACGGGCAGGGACCCCTTCCACTGGAGCAGCTTGCTCCAAGCCCCTGTGTCCAACCTGGCCTTGAGCACTGCCAGGGATGGGGCAGCCACAGCTTCTCTGGGCACCCTGTGCCAGCGCCTCAGCACCCTCACAGTCAATGTGGGGCTCAGGTCTCACTGGCCTTCCTCAACCACACTCATCAGCTCATCTAATGAACAGACCAAGGTGAGCACCCAGGCTTTTCATGGCCTTTCTTTGGTTACAACAGACTAAAGCTGTGTGTGAGCACATTGAAGACTCAACTACACCCCACTACTCAAATCCAGCATCATTCATCACCCACAAACTCTGGCCTGGCAACTGCTCCATCTACGCTGTCCAGGAGTAATGCTCTCAGATAGCACCTACAGAGCAAATCCTTGGGTCCAAAGATGGCCATCATTCAGGTTCTGCTTAGGGACTCAAAGAGCTGTAACAAAAGGGATCTGGAGGGATTCAGATATGCTATAACTAAAAAAGAGGGAAGAAAGAGAAGAGGGCTCCTCTGAAGTCTTTGCTTATGACACCATTAAAAGCTTCCTCAGCTCAGCTTCAGTACGTTTAAGTTTTTGCTCTGATGTCCCTTCAAGTGGCCCTCTGATGTGTCAGGTCTTCACTTGATGTGCAAATGACTGCTTTAAAACACTGTTTCCATGGCAGTTATGAAGCACATGAGCCTTCTCCATGACTAAGGAACAAGGTATTTGCTACACAGACTTGTATTTGTAGTCCTGCTCCAGAGGGAACACAGCCAGGTTCCCAAATGCAGCATCTCCCACATCCTTCATTAATCAATGCTGAGCTTCCCATTGTAGTACATCACTTGCACACTGGAGAGCTGAAGTACAACGCAATTAAATGTGGACATCAAAAAGGTGAGGCAGTGAATTATAAAAAGAAGATATTTACCGAAATTTCAGGTCCACAAGGACCTCTTTGCATGTTCAGCTTCACAGGGAAAGGTTAAAGCCTGCAGCAATACATGTCAGCCTATAATTTTCCTTGTCTTTCTAAAGCCCATTTCAATCGCAGAATATTCCCTTAAGTCTTCACAAATTGAAAGGCCAAATTTCCATCTTTATGTAGCTAAATCCTATCACTGCCACAGTTTAATTAGGCCGAATTGGTTTTATAGAGATAGGTGCATCCACTGTTGGACACCAAACCTGCTGCCTGAATCACAGGCAGTGATTGCTGTGTTCAGTTGTAGGTTTCTGCTACCTCTTAAGCCACCTCTGGCACAGCTGGGTTAAGAAACTGGCTTCCCAGGTCAAGAATGATGTGGGAAGGTTCCAATGGAGAACTACCAAACCAAGATAAGGCAGAAGCTCTTCCCTGTGAGGGTGCTGAGGCGCTGGCACAGGGTGCCCAGGGAAGCTGTGGCTGCCCCATCCCTGGCAGTGCTCAAGGCCAGGTTGGACACAGGGGCTTGGAGCAAGCTGCTCCAGTGGAAGGGGTCCCTGCCCGTGGCAGGGGTTGGGACTGGAGGAGCTTTAAGGTCCCTCCCAACCCAACCAGTCTGGGATTCTGTGATTTCAAAGCCCCAGTACATCCTGCATCCAGAGCAGACCTGCACATCACCTCCTACTCTGGCATGAGTATTTGGGAACCCAACCCTTGCAGCACTGCGGCTGCAATGCCCATTCACAGCATCCCCAGAGCTTTACTTCATCCCCACATGATTTTATTTAGAATAGAATCATAGGATAGTTAGGGTTGGAAAGGACCTTAAGATCATCCATTTCCAACCCCCCTGCCATGGGCAGGACACCTCGCTGTAAACCATATCATCCAAGGCCTTATCCAACTTTAAGCTCAGACAGATTTGGCTTTGCACTGGAGTGGACTAGAAGCATTCACATCTTTATTGTTGGTATAAACTGGAAGAGAAAGGAGTTCCAAAATACCCTTTAAAAGAAGGGGTTTTTTCCTTCTAGCCTTACAAATAACCAAGAGCAATGGTGATGGCTTCAGTTCTAAGAGTGGGGGTCTGAGCAAAGAGGAAAACCCCATTCCTAGGAGGAGCCAGCTCACGTCACTGAGTTGGTGAACACTGGGTTGGTGAACACCCTCCCTCCCACAATGTCAGCATCTAAAGCATGTGATGTATTTAAGGGATCAACTACCCACTGTGGTGCAAACCACAGTTTACATGCTATAGCCCACAAGAGGATGATGTCAGGGCAGCCTGGTTAGAAGAGAGACCGAGGTACTGTCAAAGTGGTTTAAGATGCTGCGGAGACAGTAAAAGGGAGGATCATTTCCAGCACTGGAGGGAGCTGATAACACCCGAACTCCACATCAGATCCCTCTGGAAAGCTCGTTTTCAGCTCCTTCCAACGTTACCAAGTTTTCCACACCCGTCTCTGCTTCAGGCTGAGGTTTTGTCATTTATATTCTGCAGAAAGTTGCAGCCAAATTGCTCAGGAACCTCCCAAAAGAGCAGGCCAGAGAAACAAACACACTGAACACAACCAAATGCTTCAACGTGATTCCAGCCCCAACTTTGGTTCCTTATGGGAAAACACCTATCCCAAACTCCATTAAAGGCATGCAACAGAGATGTGAGGACACATTACATCTGTGAAAGCACACAGTAGGAAACACACATTATATCTATACAGTTCTGGTGTCCTGAACATCAGAAGGACATGGAGCTGCTGGAGCAAGTCAGAGGAGGCCATGAGGATGCTCAGGGGCTGGAGCAGCTCCTGTATGGAGCCAGGCTGAGAACATTGGGGCTGTTGAGCCTGGAGAAGAGAAGCTGTGTGGAGACCTCAGAGCAGCTTCCAGTGTTGAAAGGGGGCTGCAAGGATGCTGGGGATGGACTCTTCATTAGGGACTGGAGTGATAGGACAAGGGGTGATGGGTTCTAACTGTTAGAGGGGAAGTTCAGGTTGGAGATAAGGCAGAAACTTCCCTGTGAGGGTGCTGAGGCGCTGGCACAGGGTGCCCAGAGAAGCTGTGGCTGCCCCATCCCTGGCAGTGCTCAAGGCCAGGTTGGACACAGGGGCTTGGAGCAAGCTGCTCCAGTGGAAGTGGTCGGAGCTGGAGGAGCTTTAAGGTCCCTTCCAACCCAAACCACTCCATTATTCTATCAGTGATGATAAGCAATAGATGCTCTCCTGCAGACTCACTTCTCCCTACTGTCATTAACAGCTCCACCTGAAAGACTCAAATGCATCCAAAGCAATGTCAAACAACTCTTAAGGAGGTCTGATGGCAGCCAAAATTGTTAAGGGCTTGCTTCTCTAATGGGGAAGCTCTACTCACCAGTTGATTTCATTGTAGTCATTATGAACTTCCCACCAGAAGTAAAACCAAACCAGGGTCAGGAAGAAGGATGAGGTGAGGATGAGGAACCAGAGCCGCTCCCACTGTGGATAGAAAGAGAGGTGAGCATTAATACTAGCCCATTTCAGGGCCAGTGCCCCCATGTTAACCAACATTCCATCCAGAAGCTGTGGAGGTTGGATGGAGTTAACTAGGTATTTCCAAGGGTAGATTTGGGACCTTTTTAACCTGGGGGAGGTGGGAGATGCCACCCTGCTCCCCGGCCTGGGCAGAGAGGTCCATTATGTAGATCCATGTTATGTAGCGCTGGTTCAGCATCTCCAGCTCTTCAGGCACATGGAATGAGGGAACATTTTGGATACAGAGCTGGGCTTTTTTGTTTGTGTTTGGGGTATTTTATAGGCAATTGTTGAATTAACTTTCCCATTCACCTGTGAGAGGTGCAACTTGACATCTTACTCTCAGCCTAAATGACCGAGTAGCTATCAAATGGCAAAGTCTACACAGCAGGTTATGGATGCTGCTACTACATGCGCATATACAAACCCTTCCTTACTCCTTCCCTAGGACACTCAGATCCTGCAAAGCCAACCACCCATCCCCAACATTCATTCATTCCCACCACCACCACATATGCAAGTGTTTTCCAGGAGGAGAGACCACAGCAGCATTGGTTAATGGAGATTTACACCACCATTCAGCTTTGATGAATGTTCCCAAATAATACTCTACACACACACATAGAGAACAAAACAATAAACCCCCCAAACTTGTGGTCAGTGCCCTAATCCAAAAGCATGAGTGAAATCCCAAAACACAACGACATCCATGAAGAGAACAGTGCTGCAAACTCTCTCTAACCAGCCCCATTTCCACGTTCTACTTGTTGGTTTTACTCTGCAGGCATTCAATAGTCCACACATGTTTCTGTTCCCACCCAGCATCCTGTCTGATTGGAACAAACCACTGAAACACATCCTTTATGGAAAATATGAAGCTTCTCTTCCCAGAGTGATCAAGAAGGGATGCAAACTGACAAAGTGAATGAGTAACTCCACTACTATATTTTCCTTCCAGACCCTGAGCACAACATTAATCTCTTCTGAAAATGCCCTTTTCTCTATTCTCATGGCTTTCCAATTATGCAGAACAACGTAACCAACACAAACACTGCTTTAGTGATATATGAAATACTACTAGTCCTTGCCTTCCTTTTCCATCTTAAGGGCTGAAGCTATTAACTGTATATTGACTGTTTTCCATCATGCATCGCCCTGGATACCTATCTTGTGATACAGCTCTTCCTTGGAGGCTCTGTTTTATAAGAAGTGCCAAGAGAAAAAAGAAAGCAACAAAAAGGCTTGGAATTATTTCATTTTTGCTCTGCCAAAAGTGATGTTTTCTGCTAGAAATTCCCAATTCTTGGCTGGGGTTGTGGTTGAAACATCTTTTTCAACTCAGCTCAAGTTTATAAGCCAAATTCTATCAAACCTCCATACCAGCTCCGTTCCATGAGGGTCTTCGTGTTTCAGATAAATGGGACCAGAAGGAGGTAAAATGGGAATTGTACAGGGCAACTACTGGGTGCATTCAAAACCACATGGCCAAACTGCTCTGCCATACTTGCAAAAACTATACTCTCTCCACCTTATCCATAGATCTGCATCTACGCTCACAAGTGACCAGCAGGTCAGAGAAGGTGATTCTACCCCTCTGCTCTGCTCTGGTGAGACCCCACTTGCAGCACTGTGTGCAGCACTGGGGCCACCAACATCAGAAGGACACGGAGCTGTTGGAGCAAGTGCAGAGGAGGCCACGAGGATGAGCAGGGGCTGGAGCAGCTCTTCATTAGGGACTGGAGGGGTAGGACAAGGGGTAACGGGTTCAAATTGAAACAGGGTAAGTTCAGGTTGGAGATAAGGCAGAAGCTCTTCCCTGTGAGGGTGCTGAGGCGCTGGCACAGGGTGCCCAGAGAAGCTGTGAATGCTCCATCCCTGGCAGTGTTCAAGGCCAAGTTGGACACAGGGGCTTGGAGCAAGCTGCTCCAGTGGAAGGGGTCCCTGCCTATGGCAGGGGTTGGAACTGGATGAGCTTTAAGGTCCCTTCCAACCCAAACCAGTCTGGGATGTTACGATTCTCTAAGTGACCTCCTGGAAGGAAAGCACTGTGGTTGGAATGCAGAGTTACCCCAGAACACCCCACCTTTGGTAGCAGGATGCCATCTACAACACCTATGTTACCTCCAACCAGCACTAGCTTTCCCCAGTCCCAAATCCAACAGCAAGGCTGCAGCATCTCTCCATGATGAGCCTCCTCCACACCAACCACCACTGCACAGCCAAGCCAACCCTTTGCGACCCAGGAGTTCTGCATTATAATCCATGGAACATCTGGATTATATAAACACCCCAACCTAAAACCACTCACACCTTCACCCCATCCCACCAAAATTCCCCAGGAAGAAGCAATTCCTAACCCTTTCAGCAGACTATGACTATTTTCTCCTGGTGCCTTCCAGTCTATGGTTCTCCAAGCTTTGAAACCTCACTTTCCCCTATAGTTAGCTGGGTTTTGCCTCCCCATTTGGGTCTAACACCATGCACGTATCAGCAACACGGCTACATCAGTTAACTGGACAGGTTTTGCAAGGCGAGTGATGTTTAAAGTATCTCAAATGCTGGACCAATATTGCTATATAAAACATAGTAATCGTTCAGCTTTTTAAAGGTCATTATGGGATAAGCTTGGCCAGCTTTCATGCACTGGATGACAGTGGTTTGATAAGCCAAGGGAAAACATTTCAGAACATGTTTGGGCTTTAAGTTTCATGTATCTATTTTTTTTGTGCTTTTTCTCCTTCATTTACATGCAAGTAGCAGAGCTTGTGTCAAAGCTCTCCAAAAGCTATTTTAGGTCTGTCCTTGATGCTGCACTTGCCAGATATATTTGCCTGGCTGATTTTGTGTAAACCCAGTCCAATTCTTTAAGGTTTGGCATACTTCAGTGAGGTCAAGAATAGGGAACATCTTCCCAGCACCACTGATGCTATTTAGCACAGACTGAGCCCAAATCCGAACCTACATCAACCTGACCTACGTATACAACATATTGGATGTGGCCTGGCTCCTCTACAACCTCCTCAACTACCCCTCATCAGAAGAGTTTTAGAGGGCCCTACTTCACAAGCTCCCACATGCTTTAAAGCAAGGTGAAATCTGCACCATTCAACAGCTTCAAGCCTCTACTGCTAAGAATGGGGTCATCCTGATCACTCAATCACAGCTGCAAGCAGGAGGAAATGGTGCCACCTCACCTATGGAAGCTCAAACAGGACCACTAGAAGGTTTGAAGGTGCTTGCAGAAGACATCCATATTCAGCTCCATGAGATTTTATAGGAATGTCAGCACTGACATTTTGGCAGTTCTAGAAAACTCTCCCTCCTTCTCTTTCAGTTTATCCCTCTTCACACCAGGATATGATGGATGTTCTCACAAGTTACCAATTATTTGGGCTAAGCTTAAACATGCTCAGCTCACACTGCACTCAGTATTGTCATGCAAACGAACCTGACCAAGTACAGGTATTACACCTTCATTCCTACCAGGATGTAATTTGGAAGTAGCTTCATGTTTTGTCCTGTTTTCTATACTCTGGTTCACACGACTAAAGGGCTTTGGGTGAAGCAAAACCAGATGTGCTCCAGGAGTGAACTCAATGTATATCAACTACCAATGGGCACTCATTCCAGACTGAAGCGAATCCTAAACGACTACACCACCACCTCCAAAACGTTTGGAACTAGATGGTCTTCAGGTGCTTTCCAACCCTAACTATTGTGTGGACATCAGGACTTCAGCACCAACTATCTCCTTCCACAAACCTCGTCTCTTGAGCCATACCACTTACTAATGAAGATGCAGCTGTGTCTTACAGAATGGCATTAAATGGTGTTAACCTCATTGTATCAACATTTAACTTTAAAGGAAAAACAACAAATGAAGAGTCACCTTTATCCTTCAGCTAAATGTCTACAGAGGACATGTACCATGCACTCAGTTAACCTCAGAAAGAGCTAACCAGTGCATGGATGAAGCCTTTGCAGAGCACACCCAATGAGATGGCCATAGCCCAAAGAAGAATGGAGAGAATATCAATTAAAGTAAGGAAAAACTGATCTTGAAATGAGAACATTTAAAAGGATCAGGCACAAAATGAAGTTTTTTGTGCTGCAGAAGAGCTACCAAAACCAGGTGTCTTACATGTACCACTGTGCTTGTGACCTCAGGTCTGTTGTGAGGCCACTTCTAGCAATGGAAATGTGATTTCTTATTCCAAGATTATCTACAGACATAATGAGAAGAGGCCCAAAAGGAAGAAAATGAAGACTGAGACCTGTCGCCAAGTTTCAGTCTGTCAGGGATTTCTTGATTCATTAAAATCACAGGATCCATAAAAAATAAGAATTAAAAAGAATCAGCATTACAGCCACGTTTTCCACCACTTTGGTGCATTCCCAATCCCCACCTGTGTCAGGTGGGAACATAACCAATTCTCAAAGTAAGGGATAACAGCGAAAAAACAAACCCAATTAAAGGAATTTACCACACAATGATGCAGTTTGTGACTCATTGTGAAGTTGGCTCATGCATTTTACCTGCTTTTGTGATGCGGGCTTTAGTTTGAGCTCTTTGAAACAGCCAAAAAAGTCATATCACAGCGCAGGGAAGAGATTTCCCTATCTGGGGATTAGTTTTGGTTAACTGATGGCTGCACGAGCCTCTTTAGCTGCAACTCCCCAACCTAGATGGAGGTCGCATCATTATTTACAGCCTGGTACTGGTAGCAGGAGAGTAGAGGCTTAGGAGGATTGTTTCCTGTAGGATCTGTAGAAGGGATTATGGAGTTCGTGCGCATGCACATTGCCACCTACAAGGACTGTTTCATAGAATCACTGCGTGGTTTGTGTTGGAAGGGACCTTAAAGCTCATCCAGCTCCAACCCCTGCCATGGGCAGGGACACCTTCCTCTAGGTCAGCTTGCTCCAAGCCCCTGTGTCCAACCTGGCTTTGAACACTGCCAGGT